CTCATATTGCGGCAAATGAAATGTTGCCTAGATTAACAATACAACCATTCTTGTTTCCGAATGTAATGTTGCCTTGGTTAAAGTGATTTGTATGGATTTAAGATTTGTCAAAGATCCTCTTTGTAATGCTTTTTCAAATTTTTCTTAAAAAACATAACTAGGTTTTTTTATTTTATTTTATTTATTTTTTGTTTTGGAAACACATAATTAGATTTTTTGTTTCTTCCAATCAGCTGTATAGAATGATTCAAAGACTTCTAATATTAAGAAGAAAAACGCCACTAAATTAATAACCAATTTGTACTTTAGTCTTTAGGTCTTTTATTGTGTACAAAATTGTTGATAAGTTTGATCACATATACTTAGACGTTTATTGCTTTCAATTTAGCCACATGCACAACTAAATGTTAAACAATTTTCTACATCGACCGGATGCACCACATGACATGGACATCTATATCATAACATGTATATGGACACACACATATGCTACACATGATATGCATATGCTAGGAAGTAAAATTGCTAAAGAAGTTGAGAAGAACTATCAAGACAAAGTGGTTGGAGAACAATATGGAACAACTTAATTTTTTTAAACAATTGTTTACAAAGCTATAAAACTAGTCACGTTTATTTTTTTCAACATTTTTGTATATATCTCATTTGTTCGCATCCAAGCTTTTTGTTTGGTTCTATGCCTAGATTATTGAACCATGCACATGGCGGCCAAATTTGTTCATGTTTCATGTTTTTCCTCATGAATTCCTCCTGTCCTCTTTGTCTCTAGTTTTGGTCCATTTTTTACTACGAATTCATACCATATCCTTTGAAATAAATAAACAAAAGATATACAATACCACAAAACAGAACCTATACTGTTTATTCATAAACAAACAAATTAAATCATCAGGAGAAAAGAAAAAAAAAAACATCTTCCAATCAATATATAGATATGTAAGGATTTTGTCTCATGTAAAACAAAACCATCCGAATCAGACTATAGCATAAAAAATAAAAAAGAAGTGTTAAAATACAAGAAATTAATAGCAACATAACAACACCAAATTATTTTATTTTTATTTCGCATAATCAAATCCTACAAGCATAGAGACATTCGATTTTGGTTCTACCATGCATCATAAAGGATCACCAATCATTATTTTCATGGATTTTCATGCCTAAACGTTGCTGTGCATAGTTCACAAGCTTCTCAAACTCTTTGGGGTTGTCGATTTGGCCACTACCGTTGAAATCCGATGACTTCATTGCTTGGCGAGCTCTCCACCACCCGAACCAAACCCTCAGGCTGCGAAGAGCCTCCTTCAGTTCCTCACGGCTAATCTGCCCGTTGTGATCATTGTCAAATCGGTAAATCCACGCTTTGAACTCTTCCACCGTCATCTCCTGGTCAGGCTGCACCTGCACACAACACATTATGGCCATAATGGATTGAAGTTTTCTCTACCTTCTGAGTAGAAAATGTCTTGTCCGGAGAAGATGGAAATTATGGAAATGTAGCTAGATGGGCAGGCAAGCTTGGTTTGTTTTGGTTTGGTTTGATTCTCTACTTAGAGTGGATTTAAAGTGGATTTTTAGTAGTGGAGAATCGAATTTAGGCATGTATGGATTGACACTTTTTATTGGCATCTTTTTCCACATCACTAGTTTCTTTAAGGCCGTGTTCTAACTTTATTCTTGCGAGTACGCATGGGATCAACATAGTTAACTAAGTGTAATTATATAAAATGATAGGCAATTATACAGGGAATTGATATCCACAAAACCTCTTTCTCCCGCTTTCACATGTTTAATTATTTATGAAAGAGATGAATAAATCAAAGAGAACCAAACATAAAATAACAAAGACGTGTAAAGAAAGCAAGCAAGTGTTTGACAATCATTTTCAGAATGAAAGTGGATCCACTCAAGACCTAAAAGGTGTGTTTGTTGCACCGGATTAAGTCGGATTGGAGCTTCAGGGACTAAGCTGAATTTGCTTGGCATGGACTAAGAAGTATAAGAATAATGAAGTGTTTGGTACAGTGTCGAACTAACTTACGGACTAAATTATTTTCATATACAAATAATCCTTTTATTATTTTCTAACTAATTTATTAGTATTTTATTATTATTAATGTCACTTTTTTTTTTGCCGACTACTCTCTTCCCCTCTCTCTACTTTCCTTTTCCATTTCCTTATCTTCTTCGCATCCAGAGAATTCCTTTCCTTTCTCTTCTTCAACAAGCTTCAATCCCCGCTCCGCCATCCTTTTCCTCCTTCAATCTCTCTTGGTTTGACAAAAATTCCAACTGTTTCGATCCCTCCAGCCCTATCCACAAACCATTCTTCCTATTCATGTCAAATACCAAAAGACCCTTCGTGCTTGACGGACTGGCGCTAGGGGCGGGTTGTGTCTAGCGGCGGTGCGACCGACGAAGACGATGAACTCCTGAACCCTAGACCTTTGGAAGTAGCTGAAGTGGATGATATCAGAGGCGTTGGTGATCGGGTCAAATTCGTCTGGATTTCACTTGAGGACCAACAAGGCCGTGATTTTCATCTTCTTGTTTTTCTATACGCAGGTGTAATCACATAGTCTGTACGATGGCGGGGGAATTAGGGAAGAAACTTACCCGTTATTAGGAAAGAAATGAAGAAGGTGTTGGGATGTGAAGGAGAGGAAGCGAAGGTCTTAGTAGTACCGACGTTTTTGGGGGACTCGCTAAGACCTCTTAGTGAGCTACTCAGTCCACACTAGTCCCGTTTAGTACTGTTAAACTTAGCCCATGCACAGAACAAACGTTGGACTAGACTAACAAGTAGTCCAGTCTAGTCCAGTAAAAGCTAACGAGGCCAAACAAACGTCCCCAAAAAGTTTATGGAAAGAATATTATTGCGGTGGATACAATTATATAATAAAGTAGAAGAACAAAAAGTACATAATAAAATTGGTTATTCCTTCAAGGCATATGTGACGAAGTTGTTATATACTTACTAATATATTTAGTAATGCAGGAGTTTATAAAGCTCTATGAACTATTGGGTAACTGCCATCTGTAAAATTTGGTATATTTGACTTCATTTGAACATTATTTGATTTCTCGACAGAAATGAATTTTCATTCAAGAGCCATCCATGCTTGAGATTTTTGTGCATCGAAAATATTAACAATATGAGGAAATACATAGGATCTGTTTGAAAATACTTTTAAAATGACCAAAAGAGTTTTACAGTGCTTCTTTGTTAAAAAAAACCTTAAAGTGTTTTCTAGAAGAAGCACCTGACGTGTACTTCTTTCAATAAACACTTTAAGTTTTTTTTTTTTTTCAGATAACACTTGGATTCTTAATAAACAAAAAAGAAAAGTCAATGTGTGTTTAATAAAAACATTTTTCACTGAAAATACTTCTAAGCAGAAGTGTTTTTTAAAGAAGTAATTCCAAATGAGCCCATTGTGATTGGGCAGTTGCAAGCATGACTGTTGCATTGAAAAATGTCATCAGCGTTTGATCTTGATGAACATCAATGCACTTGTCTATTTCATTTCTTCAAATTTTTTTAAGTACATTGATATTTTTACACTAAAAGGAGGGGAAGTTCGGCTAAGCCAAATAATGGCCAACCTAATTTGGTATCGAATTCGCTATCCACAAGATTCGAACCTAAAACCTCTCACTGCCAAGTGAAGAGGAATATCAACAAACTGTAGGACTAAGTGATCATTTCATCAATTTATCATCTTTCAAAATTACCTTGATGGTTTTCTTCGGTACGTGTTTACTCCAAGTGGAAACATTTTTAACACGTGTCGGAGTGATGCATGCGACTTCAAACACAACGCTATCACTCAACTTGAGTTTGATACATTACCATTTCAAGCACACGTTATCACTTCAATCTCACACACTGCCACTAAAGGTATGGACATTGGCATTTGTCTCACAATATACGACTTCAATTAGTGTATTAATTAAGAAAAATCGTGAACATTAAATCGTGACTAGAGCATGTATACTTGACCATGTTTCTTTCCTTTGTTTCATATGAATGCTCATGTACTAGTGAAGAGGGTTGGAAATATGATTTGGCATACGTTTTTGACACAATTAGTTGTCTAACATGGCACCATAACCATTTTTTTTATAAGTGGGTTTTGAGTTTGAGTTTCTGTCCCCTCTTCTTTACTAGTTGGCTTTCAAGTGGTTTTGAGTTTGAGTTCGATTTAGTCCCTCCCACCCCTATCAATTTGTAACGTGCGAAATTTGTTGTTTGAAGATAAGTGAGTTTGATATACATTGTTGATTTATTCCGTAAAAACATAAAACTTTTGAGATTATTGATTGTCTATCATCTACGGTACAATTTTGATCTTAAGAAGTAGATGATGTAAGTCGTCAAAACAATGGGATGGGATTGGTTAGAGCAATATATATATAGCCTCCTTGCATGCGCTCACGCACGTGCGGAAGGCTTTTTTATAATTACGGTGTTCTACACGTGACTTATATAATTTAAATGTATTTATCTATGTGGATTTGAAAAGTGAATTAAAAATTAAAAGAATGAATATAACCTTATCATATATTTGATGGAAGCAAAATATTGTTGTACACAACATTTCTTGTGAAGACTACCATAAATTAACAAACACATAAAACACATAGTAAAACAACATAACACACTAGTTATGAACAAACCACCGAAATTAGGACTTCAATTTAAACACGATAAAAGCTAAAGGAATCCCAAAGTTTATTCAAACTTTAAAAACAGATGCTTAAAATGTGATGTTAACAATTCCCTAATTTTAGGTCACTCACCTTTAGTGCAGAAATCATTGAAACAGAAACGAAAAGATGCAGAAACTTGAAAGCACAATATTTCGAAACCCCTTTTTTTTCACAACTTGCAGAGTTGAAAATTTTCAAACACCTGCATTTGTCAAAGGAACCGATCACATTATATCTAGTGAAATTTTTTGTTTTTTCAGAGACTGGTGTTAACAACTCCCTAATTTTAGAATCACTCTCCTTTAGTGCAGAAATCCTGTCCTTTCAGAGACTGATGTTAAAAAAAAGTATCAAATAACACAAAAGATCAACTGCGTTGTATACAAGAGGAGAATGAGAATTAAGAAGGGCAGCAAGAGTCACTAAATCTCTCTAATTGTTAGAGCTATGACCTGTCCTTTCACATGTAATTAGGTTAATATCAAGTCAAAAACTATTAAGAAGGCCGCACCTCCTGAAATAAAAAACAAAACTCAACGACACATTCACAGTATCAATCTAAACGATATCCAGAAAAAAAGAAATGAACAGAAAAAATCCATGTAAATATACAGAACAAACCAAAAAAGGAACTAAAGCCAGTAAGAAAATCACAAAACTCACCAAAAATGACACAGACCCGGCGACTTAAAAATCGATTCTAATAAAATCAAAAACCCAGTAATTCTGGCAGTCACCGTACCACTGAGAAAACATCAAAAACCAAAATCAGATGCCCAAAATCCATAAAATTAAACCAAAAGAGAAGTGAAAAAGGGGAGGGAGGCTAAAAAAATAGGCCCTTGCTATTAAAGAGAATGAAAAGGCCGAGAAGCATTTAAGACAAACCTAATTTTTATAGACCTGCCAGTGAATCTTCAGGGTTGATACCAAGATTTTGTCTCAACATAGCTAAAAGATTTAGACGCTGGTTACAGACCTACACCCTGGTATGCCAATGTGTTTCGCCAAACGAAGAACGTGATCCCATATGTTTTAACGCTCTCAATTTATGTTATATAATTAGTCTAAGATGTCACGGCCTAAAAAGGTATAGGGAAGCTCTCTCGATGAAATTAAAAAGAAAAAAGACATTCAAATACGTGCTGATGGAAAGTAAAGATGTATACTTTCTTCCTTAGGCGACTCTTCCTTGCTGCTTCTCCGTTCTGGGCCAGCCTACGTAGTGTCTGTAGATAAGTTAGCTTAATCAGATTAGCATTTAAGATCGAAAATTACTTTCTAATAAAATCACTTTTACCAATAATCCAAATATTCTAACCTTTTGGTCACCAGTAGTTCTTTCCTTTGCCTGCTCTGTGGAATCCACTACCATTAGTGCGCCATGCTGCACTCCAACAAAATCGTATCTCATATTAATCCACTGACACTAAAAAATTAGAAAGCTAAATAAAGTTTACAGTAAAATATGCAGATTTAAAGCAAATCAACTTTAGATATGGGCCATGTTATTAAGGTAGTAATTGAATTGAAAACATTCTGGAAACTATCTTTTTAACCGACAAAGCGATATTCTAAATTACCATAATTTACGGGAGGGAGATTCGAACTATAATGCAAAGGGGCCGAGCCATAGCCCAACTGACCAAACAAACGTCTACACGTTGTTTGAAGCTTGAAACAACATGGATGGGAATCCAAAATTCCAAATGATTCTCAATTCCACTAAAGCTATAGAAAGATTCCCATGAAAAAGTATGGTAGCTGTAGAATGTTGGAAAAGTGGGAGTATTGGATGGCTAGTGGTTTAGGCTAGTCAACTTTCTTTGTGTAAGTTAGGCAAGTTACACAAGTTAGGTGAGTTAGGCAAGTTACACAAGTTAGGCAAAGTTAGGCAAGTTAGGCTTATGTCTACTTTCTTTCCCTATATATAAGTTTCATCTTGTAATTGTTTCTTTATGAAATACACATAAAAAATTCTACATGGTATCAGAGCAGGAACTCTAAAATCCTGGCTCTGTTGATCGTTTCCGCTAAGTTTCTTTTACTCTAAGCCAACATGGAACGTTATGAAGCTGAGAGCTCGATGGATGCTTCAGCTCTACCTAACGTTGAAATCAACCCTAATCAACGTCTCAGTTCTATTTTGTTGAACGAATTCAACTATCTTCCCTGGAGCTGTGCTGTTTCTCTCGCACTTGGAGGGAGATCAAAGCTTGGCTACGTAAATGGTGCCATAAAAGCTCCAGCAGTCACTTCTCCTACCTACGAGTCGTGGCTATGTACACACCAGTTGGTCATGTCTTGGTTGCTCAACTCAATGGAGCGTAGGATTGCTGAAATTTTTAGCTATTCTGAGTCGTCCATGCATCTCTGGAAGCAAGTCAAAGAGATGTATGGAAATCAAAATAATTCTGCCCATGTCTTTCAACTTAAGAAGGATATTTCAAGCTTGCAACAAGGAGGAAAGGCCTTTGTTCAACATCTTGGCAACCTTACAAGCATGTGGAATGAGCTTGATGTCTATCGTCCTCGTACCACCGATGCCACCATGTTGATTAAGAGAGCAGAAGAAGACAAGATTTTTCAACTCTTGGCAAGCTTAGGCTCAGAGTTTGAAGATCTCAGAAGTCACATTTTAATGAATGCTGAACTTCCTTCATTCACTGGTGTTTGTGCCATCATTCAAAGGGAAGAAGTAAGGAGGAAAGTAATGAGCCAAGATACTAAAAATCCTATTCATGAAACTAGGGCATATGTCTCCAACAACAAGCGTCCTGAGGGCAAAGTTTATAAGGGGAAAAGACCAGATTTGAAGTGCAGCTACTGTGATTCACTTGGACATACAAGAGACAGGTGCTGGATTCTTCATCCAGAATTGAAGCCAAACTCCTTGAAGGAGACAAAGGGTCCCCAAAGACAAGTTAGGCAAAGTTAGGCAAGTTAGGCTTATGTCTACTTTCTTTCCCTATGTAGAATTTTTGATGTGTATTTCATGAAGAAACAATTACAAGATGAAACTTATATATAGGGAAAGAAAGTAGACATAAGCCTAACTTGCCTAACCCTAACTTTGCCTAACTTGCCTAACTTGCCTAACTTACACAAAGAAAGTTGACTAGCCTAAACCACTAGCCATCCAATACTCCCACTTTTCCAACACTCCCCCTCAAGCTGGATCGAGGGGATTCCTTGAGCCAAGCTTGGACAGAATGCGCATGAACTGAATTGTAGGAAGAGGTTTAGTAAAAATGTCAGCCAATTGATCATGACTGTGAGTGTAATGAGTGTTGATGATGTTGGCTTGAACCTGTGCTCGAACATAATGACAATCCACTTCAATATGCTTCGTTCTCTTGTGAAATACAGGATTGGAAGCAATATGCATGGCTGCTTGATTGTCACAGAACATAGATATAGGTTCCTTACTGTGAAACCCTAAATCAAACAGAAGACTTTTCAGCCAAATAAGTTCACAAGCAGTGGATGCCATAGCTCGATACTCAGCCTCTGCACTGGAACGAGCTACAACGCTTTGCTTCTTGCTGCGCCATGTTACCAAGTTCCCACCTACAAAGGTACAAAAACCTGTGGTTGATTTGCGATCAAGAGAGTGCCCAGCCCAATCAGCATCTGTGTAACCCATGATGGCAGTGCTGTCATTCTTTGTCATAAGGATCCCTCGACCAACAGACGCTTTTAGATAACGAAGAATTCTCTTCACAATCTGCATATGAACTGATGTAGGAGCATGCATAAACTGACTCACAATACTCACAGCATAGGAGATATTTGGCCGCGTGATTGTGAGATAAATAAGTTTCCTACCAATCTTTGATACTTAGTAACATTGGAAAGAACTTCACTGTGAGTAGTGAGTTGCAGCTTACTATCCAGAGGAGTGCGTGCAGGTTTGCAATCCATTAAGTTAGATTCCTTCAAGAGATCCAGGATATATTTTCTTTGATTGAGAAAGAGACCTTGCTGTGAAGTGGCAAGTTCAATACCAAGGAAATATTTGAGGCGCCCCAAATCCTTGATTGCAAATTTGTTTCGAAGAGCAAGCTTGAGAGATTGGATTTCTGCATCACTGTCACCTATCACTATGAGATCATCTACATAGATTAAAACAATGATTTTTCCACCTGAGCCATTACAAACAAATAGTGAGGAATCTGCACTGCTTCTTTGGAAGCCAAACTCTTCAAGGATTGAGCTTAGTTTTGCATACCAGGCACGTGGAGACTGTTTCAGACCATAAATGGATTTGTGCAGTTTACAAACCATGTCAGGATCGCTCGATTGAGGATGCCCTGGTGGTAGTTTCATGTACACTTCCTCCTCTAATTCCCCATGCAAAAAAACGTTCTTCACATCCATTTGATAGAGGCTAAGATTGATTCACAGCAACTGACAAGAGAACCCTTACAGTGTTCATTTTGGCCACGGGAGCAAAGGTTTCCTTGTAATCCAAACCATCAGTCTGAGTAAAGCCACGAGCCACTAAACGAGCTTTGTGTCTTTCAATAGTCCCATATGAGTTGAACTTTGTCTTGTACACCCAATGGCTACCCACTGCTTTCTTCCCTGTGGGAAGTTTAATTACACTCCAGGTTTTGTTGTCATGAAGAGCTTGTAGTTCGTCCCTCATTGCAGTTTGCCAAACTTTATGTTTACTTGCTTCTTGAAATGTTTGTGGTTCATGAGTATGATCCAAGACACTAAGAAAGGAGATATGAGAGGGTGAAAACTGCTTATAGGAAACAAAATCTGTGAGAGGATACCTAGAGGTGTAGGTGACATAATCATGTAGTCGAAGTGGGGGTTGACGAACCCTAGAAGGGTTTCGACGAATCTGGACTGGAGGCTCAACATTTGTGACTTGGGAGGGAGCATGTTCAGGTGATAGACTTGTAGTGTCACATGATGGAGGATTTTCTTGGTAGTACGGGACACTAGGCAATGGAAACATATCACTCAAAAACTCCCCCTGATCTGCATCACTTAGTTTCTTTGAGAAGTAGGACATATTTTCATTAAACCTTACATCCCTTGAGAAGCTTATTTGTGATTGGATTGTAACACTTGTAGCCTTTTTGAGTGGATGAGTAACCCAAGAAAATACATTTGATAGCTCTAGGATCTAATTTATCATGATGAGGGGATTTGTTGTAAACAAAGCAGGTGGAGCCAAAAACTCTCAAGTGTGAAAGATCAATTTTTCTACCTTTTAGCATCTCATATGGGGACTTGAAACTGAGTACTTTGCTAGGCAATCTATTAATAAGATAGGTAGCTGTAAGTACTCCTTGTGACCAAAATTTCTTGGGTACATTCATATGAAACATGATTGATCTTGTCTTCTCAAGGAGATCTCTATTTTTTCTTTCGGCCACTCCATTTTGTTGAGGTGTGCCAACACATGTTGTTTGATGCAAGATGCCATGAATACTCAAGTATTGAGACATGTTATGGGACATATACTCAGTGCCATTGTCGGATCTTAATATATGAATTTTTGATGCAAATTGAGTGCCAACCAGTTTATGAAAATCTTGAAAAACAATTGGAAGTTCACTCTTAAATTTCAAAAGATACAGCCAAGTCATTTTTGTGAAATCATCAACAAAGGTTACAAAATATCTATATCCATCAAAGGACTCTAGTATTGGACCCCAAATATCTGAATGAATGATTTCAAACGGATGACTGGCTTTATTGGTGGAAGACTCAAAAGGCAACCTGGAAAATTTAGACAAATGACAACATCACAGTGCAACTTGTCTTTGCACAATTTTGGGAATAAAAAAGACATAACTTTTTCAGAAGGATGAGCCAAACGTTGATGCCAAAGTTGTTGATCTTGAGACACACTCGAACTGACTTGAAAAACCTTGGGATCCTTAGTATCTTTAGCTAAGTAGTAAAGACCATTCAAAAAGAAACCTTCACCAATCGTTCTCTTGGTGATGATGTCCTAAAAAACAACATTGTGGGGAGAAAAAATAGCTAGACAATTTAGAGAATTGGTGATGGCTCCTATTGATAGAAGTTGAAAAGGAAATGAAGGAATGTAAAGAGCTGATGACTCTCTATTTTGAGAGTAAGTTGACCTTTCCTTTTCCTACAACTAAGGCACCCTTTCCATTAGCTACTGACACTTGACACGGTTTTGACAATGTTTTGAAATCATGCAAGTTATTAATTTGATTTGTCATATGATCCGTAGCACCTGAGTCAATGATCCAATAATCATGTTCATTACTAGTATTTAAGGCAGTAGAGAAGGCACTTGAAATACCTGGAATATCTTTCTGCGAAACATGATCATGCTCAGCCAAGAAACCAGCAAATTGTCCAAGTAAGGCAGTGTGATTCTTTTCTTTAGCTACTGTAGCTTCATGAGCTTCATCTCCATTGTTATGCAGCTGTTTGTTATGAAGATATGCTGCAAAATCATTGATTAGTGTTGTAGGATTGGTAGTGAAGTTTACCATTCCTTCAGTCGAAGAGATAGCTGCATAATTTGCCTTGTAGCCATTGTTACTCAAATGTCTTTGGGGACCCTTTGTCTACTTCAAGGAGTTTGGCTTCAATTCTGGATGAAGAATCCAGCACCTGTCTCTTGTATGTCTAAGTGAATCACAGTAGCTGCACTTCAAATCTGGTCTTTTCCCCTTATAAACTTTGCCCTCAGGACGCTTGTTGTTGGAGATATATGCCCTAGTTTCATGAATAGGATTTTTAGTATCTTGGCTCATTGCTTTCCTCCTTACTTCTTCCCTTTGAATGATGGCACAAACACCAGTGAATGAAGGAAGTTCAGCATTAATTAAAATGTGACTTCTGAGATCTTCAAACTCTGAGCCTAAGCTTGCCAAGAGTTGAAAAATCTTGTCTTCTTCTGCTCTCTTGATCAACATTGTGGCATCGGTGGTATGAGGACGATAGACATCAAGCTCATTCCACATGCTTGTAAGGTTGCCAAGATGTTGAACAAAGGCCTTTCCTCCTTGTTGCAAGCTTGAAATATCCTTCTTAAGTTGAAAGACACGGGCATAATTATTTTGATTTCCATACATCTCTTTGACTTGCTTCCAGAGATGGACGACTCAGAATAGCTGAAAATTTCAGCAATCCTACGCTCCATTGAGTTGAGCAACCAAGACATGACCAACTGGTCTGTACATAGCCACGACTCGTAGGTAGGAGAAGTGACTGCTAGAGCTTTTATGGCACCATTTACGTAGCCAAGCTTTGATCTCCCTCCAAGTGCGAGAGAAACAGCACGGCTCCAGGGAAGATAGTTGAATTCGTTGAACAAAATAGAACTGAGACGTTGATTAGGGTTGATTTCAACGTTAGGTAGAGCTGAAGCATCCATCGAGCTCTCAGCTTCATAACGTTTCCAGCCATCTTGGCTTAGAGTAAAAGAAACTTAGCGGAAACGATCAACAGAGCCAGGATTTTAGAGTTCCTGCTCTGATACCATGTAGAATTTTTGATGTGTATTTCATGAAGAAACAATTACAAGATGAAACTTATATATAGGGAAAGAAAGTAGACATAAGCCTAACTTGCCTAACTTTGCCTAACTTGTCTAACTTGCCTAACTTGCCTAACTTGCCTAACTTGCCTAACTTGTGTAACTTGCCTAACTTACACAAAAAAAGTTGACTAGCCTAAACCACTAGCCATCCAATACTCCCACTTTTCCAACAGTAGCAGTCTAGCAGACACATATGCTCATGAAACAGAGACCACAGAGAGAGATGGTGATACATGGTTTTTGTCATCGATGTCAACATCCGTATAAGTGTCAGTCCGCTGGCTGTTGTCGGCCATGGCTGAATTATCACCCCAATTCTCAAATTGTCCGTTTCCAGACGTCGTCGTCCCTTTCTGTTGCTGGTACATGTATGGCTGCTGCTGTCCTGTGTCCACACACGCTCTTCCTCCTGTTCCGGTTATAGTTGATCCTATGTCCAAACACCCGCCAACGTTCAAGGTCCCGTAGTGCAAGCTATCAGGTACACCGCCAACATTGTTTGCTTTTAAGCCGAACATGGAGCCTACACCAGATTAAAACCCATATGTTAGAGAGAGAAAGAGACAGAAAGGGGGCAGGGAGAGAGAGATAGGGGATACTTGGGCTTAAAACAACAGCATCATCGTGAGGGAAGGCAGTGGCAGACTGTTCAAGCTCTCCAAGATCCGTAAAACGAGTTTGGTTCCGGTCACTGTCGTCTCTCCTGTTTTTTCACATCGCAGAAAAAACAGAGCAATTGGGTTTATCTTTTACTGCTAAAAATCTGTATACTCCCATAAAATACAAGACTTTATGTTTTTTACGCACAACCCATTTCTCATACGCCATTAAAACAAAACCCAGTAGAAGAAAAAAACGTAAACAAAAAACAGTAAGAAGAGGGGAGAGAGAGACCTGAAATAGGAGGAGAGGGAGTAGAATTCTGGGTTTGTTGACGCCGCTTTGAAGCTCTGCATTTTTTTTTTACTGATTGGGTGGTGATTCCTTCTGCCTGTATCACTTTAAAGCATAGAAAAGGTAAAAAAAGACGATCTTCATACGACCTTTTAATTTCAATTCACTCAACGAAGTCAAGTATAGGTAGAAGGATCGTCAGGAGAGGATCAACTTTCTCTCTTGGGCGGAATCAGCAAAACTCCGCCGAAAAACCGTCACTGTTCTAGGCTCCAATCTTTGACCACAGTTGATTTTGAGGTGTGGGTGTCATATCAGATGGAAGAGGATTCTGATACGAATCTATAGGCTCCGACCTTGCGCGATTTCGTTGCCGTATGAAAAAGTTATGATGAAATGAAGTTGGAAGAATTCAGGAGGAGGAGAGGAAAAACAGCAGTGCAGCTGCTGAACTGCACGCAGGGAGCAAAAGGGAAAAGCAGAAATCAGGAAAGCAAACCGACAGAGAAAAGCTTGGGTATGGCGCAGGAGGAGAGAGAGGACTTTTAGAGAGAGAATCACAGAAGCAGGAAGGACCGAGCGGGAATGAAGCGGTGGAGGAGGAGAGCGGTGGAAGACTGTAGACTGATTGAAGATGCAGGATATTATTAAAAAATAAATTTACAAAACTACCCTTGCTTTATTTTCTGCATTCATTTTAGCCCGTGGCCTTCTTTTATCATGGACTGGGCCGTAATGACAAAGTAAATTGTGTGTGTACTTATTCCAGCAAATCTCATCATTTTTATCATTTTAACTTCCATAATATGCCATACTTGTCCAAAAAAAACTTCCATGATATGCCATAGAGTTAAGCTATCTTACAGCATCCAAGTTTCTCCTTTTAGATTTATTTATTCATAATCTGATTAATCAGACTTTGGACATGAAAACTAGCAAAGCAAACATGAGCACTTATCAAGGCTACAATATCATATTAGCTACTGATCTGGGTTAGCAGTGCGACCGCATAGGGCCCTACAAATTAAGAGTACCAAAACTTTTATGTTGGCCTATATACAAGGAAATTTTTTCGTTTTCCATGCATATTGTGAGGAGGTCACTAAAATTGATCAGTTATATTAGTCATACATGCTCCAAAAGAGGAGATGTATCTATTTTACTCTTTGCAAACAGTAATGTTAGAAGCAAAGACAGACATCCAGCTGATATAGCTTATTTAAGAACAGAAGCATACATCCCTTACAAATATTAGAAGCAAATTACTTGACCATATATAACATGGTATAGGAAAACCAAATTATACATACATATATCTCTTTAAACAGTTGGTGTTTTGAAGCTTCCCATCATTTTGGTAAACTCATTCATGTCAATCAAACCGTCACCATCAGAGTCCACAGCTTTCACCATATTCCTACAAGCCCCAAGGCTGCAATTCTCTCCCAACTTCTTCAACACCAGAGACAACTCCTCTGCACTTATTTTCCCATTCCCATCCAAATCGAACACTCGAAACGCGCTTTCGATGTCCGCCTTTCTCGCCTCATCATTTCCCATGTTCAACGTTTCCACAAACTCGGTGAACCCAATGAAGCCATCCCCATCAGAGTCAAGGGCCTTGAATGTCTTGGCAATCTCACCCTCTGCAATGTCTTTGTCCAGGGTCTTGAGAGCCGACTTGTACTCCTCCCTGCTGATTCTACCATCTTTGTTCATGTCGAATTTATCGAACACATATCTTACTTCCCCCACTTTTGGTTGGGATGAAGGCCTTGAAAAACGAGACCTTTCAAACCTTTCTTTGGAGAAGCTCACTTGGGTTGTTTCTTTGGAGATATTACTCATTTGAGGAGCTGGTTTGTTTGGAGGCTTTCTTGGAGTGCCATATTGAAACCTGAAAAAGCTGAAATTTGACATTTTTGTTTTCTTCAGATGAAATTAAATTGTAATATATATGACTAATGCGATGAATACTACTGCATGCATGAAACTACCATCTTATATAACGTGTTGGGGTCTTACCTGTTGAGGAATAATATAAAGAGAGAGATTCACGCGCATTGTCAAAGCAAATTCGGATTCAAAGTTATAAAAAAACAAAAAAAAAAAAAAAAAGAGCACAACATGAAATTGGTTGATGTATTCTTATTCCACACTCACTTTCCGATTAAATTCATTGAAGAAAGAAACAACTCAAGGAATTATATACACACACACATGGTCTTTAAGGGAAGGGATTTGCATTACTTAACCTAAATCCAAACCGTCTATTTCCAAGTTGCATCTCATAGATCATGCATGTGACAAATCAATTCAATTCGAAACATTTGCCCATTTGATTGTCATGATGAAATTTTAATGTTTCTTAGAAAATACTGTTCGTTAATTTTTTTGACCTCAATTAGATCTATGAAGTAAAATTTGAAAATAAACGGTTCAAATCATTGATATTCATACCCACAATGTCCCTATTTTTGCAAATTGTAATAAAATGATAATCTTGGTGATTTCTATTCCAAACCTCAATTTTGGTATATGCCATGACGCCACCAAATAAAGTTGCACATTCTTGTGTTAGTTGAGTGGAATATTCTTCAATCAACACCATATTGGTAAAGGATTGCTCATCTAATATCGATGATTAATTGATTATATCTCAGAAAAGGGCTAAATAAAAAAATAAAATAAAAAAGGAAAGGAAAACATGCATATTATATGGAATTTATGTTAAGGATTTTTGTCAACGGGCAAGTAGTAATGTTTAACTCTAGGAAATAAATATGTTAATCAATTCTTATTGATAATCTAATCATCAACAACCATATCATTTAGCTTACAAAATTTGATTTAAAAATTTAATTTACCTAGCATTACCCATAACTCTAGTACTCTTAGTCTATATCAGTAGGGCTGGGTTCGGTTCAAAACGGTTTGGTTCAACCTTTTTTCGGTTTTTTTCAGTTTGGTTTTTTCCAGTTCTATTTTGGCCCGTTTCGGTTTTTTTTTTTTTTTTTTTCCTTCAATAGCAAAAAAAAATCCCTAAGAAAACAAAACTTGCAGCCATTTTGTAATACATCTTCCAGAGGAGTATAAATAAATTCAAAGTTCCATTCCAAATTTCCAATATAATCAAAGACATTGACAAATTGAAGCAGGATTAAATCTATATAATCTTCAAATCCATCTAGAAAAATTATAAGACACATTAAACCACTCATAAGCTTCAGGTTGCTTGGCTGATAATTGATCCCGGATTAAGCTTTCAAGGGAAAAATATTGTCTTAATAAACTGCAATGATGCATTAGTTAAACATATTGAAAATCTTAAACCAAATAAGAGGAAATCTTTGGGTTAATATATATATATATATATATATATATATATATATATATATATATATATATGTATATATATATATGTATGTATTGCATATTCTAATAGGGAATTGTTATTAGCACTAAAAAAATCTAGATTTATGAACAAACCTTTGAAATGATGGTGTGAAATGCATATGTATGAACAAACCTTTGATGTAAGAAGTCAAGCCCTTGAAATGATATTTCCAGCAGCAAGATCCCAAAGTAGCATTTTAACCCTAAATCTAACTAGAGCATGGTGGTACAATTTACAACATTTGACAAGGGAAGCCAAACAATAAATATAGACTTCACATAAGGTTTGACCCACACAGATGACGAAGACATATAAATATATAAATATATATATATATATATATATATATATATATATATATATATATGGATAATACTTTACATCCCACATGGAGAATGCACATTTATCACTATTTACGAATAATGTCACCCTATAAATTTCATAATTAGAACATTTTAGTTTTTTAATCTTCATTTGAAGATCATCCTTACAGAAAAATTATTCGAAATGGAGATTGATAGTGATCCAAATATATCACATTGATGGACGGTTCATAATGAATATGTTACTTGGTACTCACATCATCCATTGATACATTTAGATGTGTTGGTACCATATTATATTGGGCCTCATTACTTGGGCTTCCAGACTTTAAGCCCATGATTCATGTAAAATGGGAGGAGCCCTTAGTCTATAAAAGGGCATCCTCACCCTCACAATCCTCAAGTCTTATCCTTACATACAAAGCCATAAGGCTCATAAACAGAGAAACTCTCTCAAACTCTCTCTTTCTCTGGAGAACTCCCCCTCACACTTGTAATCCATACATACAGTTACAGAGAAATATGATCAACATTAGTGTGGACATAGCCCAAATATTGGGGTAAACCACGATACATCTTGTGTTCTTTACTTTCTTGTAGATTCACGGTCGGATTTACGTTGTTCTAAGACCACTTCGGTTTTGTGCATCAACATTTGGCACCGTTTGTGGGAAACGACATGAAAAGCTATGTCGGTTTTCTTTCATTTTTTCATCTCACCATCGTGAGACCTCACCACACTCCACTGTGAATCTGCACAACCTGATATCCTACTCGATCTGTAACCAGGGATTTCAGAGAGACCAGAATCTGCAGATGCACATGAGACGCCATAAAGCCACCAACCAGTTTATCCTCCTTAACGGTCTAGCTAAAACCGAGCACACGTCCATGGGACTTATGAAGGAGAAGAGGAAACATTGGAGCGTTTCCAGCCGAACTCGTAGAGGGCCTGACCCAAATCCGCATTTCATGAAACCCAACAAGTTCAATTCCAAATTTCCATCCACAAACAAACAATGTTTTCACAAGAACAAACCAGAAGCCAAAAAAACCTCAAAAGAAACATGACTTACAGTTCGAAACGAGCCATGGCGGAGCTCAGGCACTCCATCTCGATGGGGGTTCGAGCCACTTCTTCTCCGATGAAGCGCGACGAAAACTCCTTCCCTTTCATTTCCGACACTCATCCCCAAGACGACGACGACGGTCGCGGTCGGCCCCCCTTCAAAGATTGCGACCATCCTTTCCTATCTTATTTCCAATCCAACTGCCCTTTGATTTTCGACGACTCTAACAGCTCCAGGATATCACTCTTCATTATCATCGCCGTCGCAATCCTCGGCCTGTTCTCGATTCTAGCGATCATAAAACGAGTGAATGCTCCTTACTTGTGTAAACAAGATGGCATTACTCTTCACTGTCCTCATGTCAAGAAATCACCTTCGTTGTGGGAGAATCCGTATTCAGCAACCACATCTTGAAAGCCTTGTGCCGAGCGCCGCCTTGGTGGGATTTCAGATCTTCTACCTGAAAATGAAACAACTGGCAGGACCGGATTTGGAAAGACCAAACGTGAGATCTCCTGCCTCGACCCCTACCATCACCATCGTCACCAAAATGACGACGTCGCTGTCGCAAAATGAGAGGAAGCAGACAGTAATGTTGTGGTCGTGGTCGTGGTCGTTGGTGTATGGGTTGATGTTGTTTGGGCTGGGCCTGATTTCGCTATTCACTGGTCACGTGGCATCTGATCTCAAGTGGTACTCACAGCGCTTGGTCATGAACACAAAGCAGAATGGAAATGGGCGTGAGGTAATTGATGTTTGAAAGTCTAGTTACTCGAAATTCTACTATGGGTGTAAGTTGACTGTAGAGATCAGTTTTCCCGCTGCCAACCC